CAGAGGGGGAGGTGCCGAGCGTTCATCTGTGTTTACCGGGACCTGAAACGGAACATCAGGAATAGCTCCAGGCACAGTCTGGGAAATTGCTGGGCATGGAAGCTCCAGCCATCCAGAGTCCTCCTCGTCAGAAGGACAAGACTCAACAGCGTGATCGCCGGAGTAGCCGGCGTAAAGCGCGTCCGTATTAGCTGTGGCAACATCGGTCGTTCCCTGACCTGGACTTAGCGCTGGGCATGAGAATGCCGAACCCCCGAAGACGACGTCTTTCGTCGGAATTATTCTCCGGTAACCTGGTTTATAAATGCGGTAGCCATCGATTCTATGAGAGTAGCCAACCATGATTCCCTCTTGAGCGACCTCGTCGAATCTTTCCCGGTGTACATCAGTATTGTAGAAATAGCACCGAGAGCCAAATGGACGTAGATGAGAGATCTTAGGCTTTTCTTTGGAGATCATCTCATAAGCGGATTTGAGAGTTTTCGGACAAATATTCACAATGTTGAGGAGGTATACCGCGCAGCGGCACGCCTCTCCCCAGAGAAATTTAGGAACTTGAGAACTTATGAGAAGAGTATGGGCTAATTTGGTAATTGTCTGATTATTGCGTTCCGCTCTTCCGTTTTGCTGATGGCTATACGGATATGACATAATGAGTTCGGCACTGCCGAACTCATTATGTCAAATCCGTAGGGCAAATTTTCGCCGTGATTATGATTTTACCGTAATCATACGCATGCGTATGATTATGACCGTAATCATACGCTTGAGTATGATTATGACCGTAATCATAATCACACGTGTGATTTTGATTATAATCATAGTCATAATCACAGAAATCACGCATTCGTATGATTACAATCATAATCACACGTGTGATTATGATTATAATCATAGTCATAATCACAGGAATCACCGTAATCACACGCATTCGTATGATTACAATCATAATCACACGTGTGATTTTGATTATAATCATAGTCATAATCACAGAAATCACCGTAATCACACGCATTCGTATGATTACAATCATAATCATACGTGTGATTATGATTATAATCACAGACATGCGTATGATTATGGCCGTAATCACACGAGTGCGTATGATTACAGTCATAATCACACGTATGATTATGATTATAATCACAGACATGCGTATGATTATGGCCGTAATCACACGAGTACGTATCGGTTCAACCGTTTTCGTGTCTATAGTTGAGACCAGACAAACAGACATACGTTTTTATATGTATAGATGTGATGAAATCTAGAAAATTCTGGAGAACTCTGGGAACTCCCGAACGATTTCCGGTGAGGGACCCGGTACTCAATTTCCAAGGAAGAAAGAGCTCATCCTCATCCTACGGGCACGACGACCCCCTCATCGCTTTTCTAAAACTCCCGAGAACCCACCCCTGAATTTTCGCGGCGATCGGTTCAGGCGTTTGTGAATTTTGCGAATTTCGGACTTTTCAATTTTTTCCGGGTTTTCGTATTTTCGTGGGTCGAGCACTCAATAATTTTTTTAAGGTAGAAGGACTCATCGCATCGGAGAACTGACCCCCTATAACACCGCTGGATCGCCCAGAACACGCTCCTAAATTTTCACGACGATCGGTTCAGCCGTTTTCGAGTCTATAGGTGACACCAGACAGACAAACAGACATACGTTTTTATATATATAGATTATAAACCAATTGTCAGTCATTAGAGCGGCCACTGACACAAGGTTACGACGCATAGTGGGCACATAAAGTTCCGAGGACAGGCTGAGGAGGGTGGTGTCCCCATCGGAAGAGCACACCTCCAAGTCTACACGGCCCTCACCGAGCGCGGAGAGCCGCTGCTGGTCTCCACCCACGTCAACTGGGCGAGGAGACGAGTAAACGGTGTAACTCTGAAAGTATTTATCGCACTCGGACACATGATGCGAGGAACCGGAGTCAATAAGCCAGATTGACGGGTCAGTTGAGACCTCGTCAAGAGTTGCAGTGAACACTTCAACATCGCTGTTGAAGTCATCCAACTGGGCGACATGAGAGGAAGCACGGAACGGACGGCGAGAACGGCTGCTCTGTGGTCGAGAGCGGTTCCCCTGGGGTCTGCCATTCGAATTGGAATTGCTTGAACGCGATTGGTTATAAGAAGTGGGAAGGGCCAGAATTCTGAGACGAATCCTGTTGATTATTACTGCCATTATTATTACGATTGAAACTATTGCGATTATTGTGACGAAAGTTCGTCTGCGGATAATTAGGTGTAGAATTAAAACTGCTGCGATTGCCATTTAATCGCCAGTTAGAGTTACGATCGAAATATTCACTTTTCGGATACACAAAAGATAGTAGTGACAGCTCCAGAATTCGTCTTCTAGACAAGTCGTGAGCCGTAGAGCTCGCGAAAAAAGGCGCAAAAAAGTGCCAGTAAAGTGCTGACGTGAACAATCGTAGTGTTCCCGGATACCGAAGGGGCTCGTGCATTAGAACAGCCCGGTTCCCGTGAGGAGAACACTCGAGACGCTGTGTTTCCGGAAAAGGTCGGTATTCACAGCGATCCGCCTCGCGGCGGAAAAAAACGGATACGCCCTAGAAAATAGAAACACTGTCGAGGATTCTCGAAACAAGGGAACCTCAGGGAAGCTTCTCCCATTAGAGAAGCGGAACCAGCGTTCACCCTCGCCCGGAGAGAGTCGGAACCTCGAACACTCCTCCTAAATATTGGAAGTTCGACTGACAACCTCAGGGTAGCTGAACTGTCCAAAATACTAGAAGTTCCGAGGAATAGTGGTGTAAGAGAATATACTGGTCGGGAACTTCTGGAAATAACAGAATACCCGTGAAGCTCCAACCCGGAGCCGAAACAGTGTCCATCTCTCTACCGATAAGTATCGGGAAGTAGAGCCACCCGAACACCGGAGGCTCGAACCGGTTAATGTCGGAAAGTCGAACGCCTCCAGATACTGGGAGCTACGACAAGTAGAGACGGACAGAAAGGCGGGAAAATTGAATATTGATACTCGATATTCAACTGAACCCCCAAAAATGGCTGAATTCCACCCGGATCAGCTACGAACAAAACCTAGGTTCGACCCATGTAGCGAATGCGAGGAACAGCTCATGGGGTCAGATATTGACCCCAACGAGTCTGTAGCCGTAAAATACTACACCTGCTGGATGGCAGAACGACAGGTTCTGCTGGCCGAAAGGGCTGCCGCCCTAAGATACATGGAGTGGCAGCAGGGAGAACTCAAGGCTAGGCAAGGTGACCTTGCTTGCATGGCCGCGAACGTCGAGGCCGAAAAAGCAAGAAGTGCCGCGCTCGAACACGAGCTACGGCACGCAGTGAGCCAACTCCCACTGAAGCACAGAACGGCGCCACCGAAAGCGCCCTACCTCGGGCCGATCGGCCTCATAGCCACAGATCGACCATGTGCCGATCTGTGCTTGCCACAACTGAGCTTCTACGGCTTGCTCAACAACCACAGAGGAGTCCGAGTGAGAACATACTCCGTCGCCTCGATAGCGATGCTCTGCGAAAAGGCAGCAGCGGAGCTCCAGAAGCCGGAGTATATAGCTTCCGCTACGGTCATACTCTGGGGCGGGCAAGGGGTATTCCAAGATGCTACATACGACCGCAATGTAGCCGCGAAGGAAGCCCTAGATGCCATAAACAAATTGGTATCGAACCAAAAGGTGTTCAAGGTGGTGTACGCGACCTTCCGCGTAGACCCCAGAAACTACGCACACAATATGTACGTAGACACCATATTGCAAGGGCTGCCGGCAAGCGTGGAGAAAATCGACCTCCGATACATCTCCGAACGCCCCGTGTTGAACGACGACCGGGGCTGGAACAAAGCTGGGAAGATAGAGGCGATGATTAGGCTATCTCGCCGACTTGGTGAAGGCCTTCAATTATCACCAGCCGAAATCGACCAGTGTCTTGCCGAAAGCGCGGAAAAGCTGGGGGGGGTCGACAGCAGAAGAGAAAGCTGATACACGGGATAAAGACTCCCAAAAAGGTCAGCAGGTCTCGAACCTGCCGTCGACATCCGGGGTCCAATCGAGACCACCGAACCCCCCCTCCCGCGAAGTCCGCACCCGAGCCTGGTCAAAAGCAGGCGAAGAAGGCGATTCCCCCGGGAACCGCCCAAAAACGACCCGCTGGCGACGTCTCGATGGACTCGGGCGAGCATAGGGCGGCGAGAGCCCAACAAGGGCCAAAACGCAAGCCCAAGCGGACGCCATCCAAAGGAGCCGGTCCCCGATCGACTTCTGTGGGGCGGAAGGAGGAAAATCCTCAAAGGACCTCCACCCCTCAGAAGAAGGGGGCGAGCGAAGAGAGCAAGAAAGAACTTGCGAATCTCTTCGAGAAGGCCCTACAAAAACCATCATAACAGTTAGAACCCCCCGAAAACACCGAGGTGCATGATGGAAATAAAATGAACTTCCCTTTATTAAAACTTGGTGTTTTCAATATGCAAGGGGGGAAAAACGAAACGAAATGGGAGTGTCTGTTCAAGGATTCACTCGAGATCGGATCCAGAGAAACATCAAAAATATATGATATTCTTCTGCTCTCAGAAACACATATGATGAATGACGAAAAACCACCGCAAAAAAGGGGCTTGTCATTCTATGGGAACAATCGAACCGGCCCGTCCGGCAACAAATCCTCCGGGGGAACTGGCATACTCATGCGAAGTTCCATAGGGGAGGTGAGCTGGACCCTAACAGGGACGGACTTCGTTGCTATAAACTGTGAGATAGCCGGCCAATCGTGGATAATCATCTCACTCTACGCCGCTATCGGTGACTTGGACTCAAATCGAAAACAACTCCAAGAAATTGGAGGAGTCATTCGGAGCAAAGTCACGAAAGACAACCGACTAGTAATAGGGGGTGATATGAACGCCCACATCACTCACTCAGTTAGATGGGAGGACGGACGGACGGGGTAAGCTCCTTCTAGAGCTGACCAACAAGTACGACCTTACCATCATGAACCTGTCCGAGAAATGCAGAGGAAGGATCACCCGAACGCAGGGCGGCCATTCATCCGCGATCGACTATGTACTGTGCAACGCCTCGGCATATAGAGAGGTATCCAGCATGAACATAGACGAAGAAAAAGAAATCCTTTCTTGGAGCGATCATAACCTCATCACTGTCAATATAGGCGGAAAGAGGAACATTGAACGACCAAGGAAGGTGCGAGTGAGGATATTAAGGGAGATAAAAGCGGCAGAAGAAGCGTCAGAGAACATAAAAAACCTAATCAGATCAAGAGGATCGGTTAGTTATGGTAACCTGATAAACACCCTCCAAACCGCAATAGCCCATAATACGAAACTCATCCACCTAAACACGAACAAAAAAATGCTGGTGCCTGAAATATCGCGACTGACGAGCAAGAGGCGAGCGTTGAATCGTGAATGGAGACGAGCGAGACACGCCGGAGTGGGCGTAGACGAGGCGAGACAGCGATACAGAACTGCACAAGACGCAGTACGTGCCGAGGTAGCCAGACAGCTCCACCTCCGAGATCGGAAAATGTACGATCAGATTATGAATGCGCCCAGACAAGCCAGATCCCGGGCCTTCTGGGAATACGCAAGAAAAACAGAGAGAAAGGACCCAGCAAGGCTACGAGTAGTAAATGAGAATGGCCACGAAATCCAATCCTTGGAAATGACGGCTCATCTCACTCGAGTAGCGACGACCCTGTTGGATGCAGACGGCAACACAGAGCCGCCTATGCATAATCTTCTCTCTAGACCGCCGGTTAATTTGGTCACAACGGGCGCGGAGATTGGAACCACTTTGGTGAAAATCTCCGAACACTCCGCCAAAGGACCAGACGAAATACCGGCAAAGATCCTCAAAGCACTGGATGATACTGGATATGAATACATATCGGAAATATTCAACCAGATCCTCAGGGGCACACATGAATTGCCGGCGGGGTGGAGGAAAGGGAGAGTCGCTCTACTTGAAAAACCGAACTCGGTTAAGGGCGATCTCACCACTTACAGACCGATCTGTGTATCGGACGTCCTGTACAGAGTTTTCACAAGAATTTTGGGGAAACACATACAACAATGGGCGGAAGATACGGAACAGCTCTCGGAGATGCAGAATGGGTTCAGAAAAGACCGCCGGGGCGAGGATAACATTTTTATCCTAACATCCGCGATAGAAATCGCAAGAGCAC